CTATCTATCGATCTCAGTCCGTTCATATCTATCTATCCATTTATCTGTCTCAGTCTGTTTATATCTATCTATCTATCTATCTATCTATCTATCTATCTATGTAAATGCATTTCACAGAAAGAAAATGTCGCACTTGAGTGTAAGAATTGGATCATTTCCTCATGTTTGGACTCTCAGCGGAAGTGGCTTCCTTAAACCGGCTGGTTGTCGTATTTCTTAGTCTGGCGTCGTATCGTAAAATACATATGCGTTTATATTGGGAAGATGACAGGAAGAAGAGGCTTTACAGGGCGGGAAAGAGAGCGGCTGGAACGTTTAAAAATTAAACGGGACAGTAAAGTAAGGAGTGACGTTTAGCAGAGTAAAGAATGAAATGACCTGGCTAGTTTAAATTGGATATAAATATTCAAAGCCACGATCGACTTTGCCCATAAGCTACTTGAGAGTGTCATTTTAAACCAGGCGAGCAACGAGTAGGCGAATCATTCTAAACATCTGTTTATATATAAAATTCTGTGACTATGTCCGTCCGTTCGACCGCCACACCCTCTAAAATAGCCATACATTGACCGATCTAAACCAAATATTGGGGATAAGTGAAACAGGTAAGAGAATACAAAGTGTTGACGGTTTTATGACCCTGTAGCTTAGTACAATATTTTTTTTATAAATAAAGTTTTATTATTTAACATACAAAATACTCTCATTATTTTTTAAACAATTTAATGGTTAAAATAACAAATATTTAATAAAAATGCAATATTGTTTTATTGCATATCTTTTCTATAAGTTTATATATATATATATATATATAATAATATTTTTTGTTTAAAAATATGATTCCTTCGCTACATAAGAGTTCTCATGTTTCAAAAACGAGAGCCGAAATATCCAAATAATTATTAAAATTAAGTTATATAAGCTCTACTTCTGTATGGAGCACTGTCTTCTTAAAATAAAAACAAAAATACTAAGGAACCCCGCATTATGCACCCAACGTGTTCTTTTCTATTTTCTGCATACCTACGCACTTATATATATATATATATATATATATATATATATATATATATATATATATATATAAGAATCAAGTTTTCAGTTCGCCTTGCGTTTGCGAGAACATATCACAAGACATATTTACGCGTGGCCAGTTGTCTGTTGTCTGTTGCACGCTCAAGACTAAGAAATTATAAGGATTTATTCTACATTTTTAAAAAAGGAAATAAATAAATTTTCTTAAAAAATATTGTTTATCATTAGGTCCTCTAAAATTAAATTAAATTAAAGAAAATATTAAACTGCGGAGTAGGGGTTTTCTCAAAGTATTTTTCCAAACAAACCAGCTTATTCAAATTTCATCGATTGCTTTGCGAAATTGAATGAAACGTAGAGTTTGCAAATCGGGACAAAAGTAGGTAACCTTATCCTCAAAAATAACAACACACCTGCTACGAATACGCCACATTATGCCTAGTCCTGGGTATGACGATAAACTACATCCGCGTCCTGGTGTGACACTATTTGGCTTGCTAAAAGGGAGAAAGGAGAAAAGAAAAAGGAAAGAAAAAAAGAAAGGCGAGAATTAAAATTAGGTGATAAGAAGCCATCACGAAAAGGACACTAAGCGGTGTTATTTTTCTGACAAGGAAAAGTGGTAATTTTTTTTATTTCCATTGTCGAGAAGGTAAAAAGGAAGATACTGGAATTAATCTGATTTAGGTTACGGGGCGGGTGGAAATTCCAGGTTGATCAAATAACCTCAGAGACAGAATTCTAAATAGATAAACATTAACTGTGTCGCAAAATGTCCATATAACGTCAACAATACTAAATACCGCGAGGAAAAATTCTAGTAATATAAATTATAATATAATATAATATAATACAATACAATACAATACAATATAATATAATACAATATAATATAATACAATATATAATATAATATAATACAATATAATATAATACAATATATAATATAATATAATACAATATAATATAATACAATATATAATATAATACAATACAATATAATATAATACAATATAATATAATATAATATAATACAATATAATACAATATAATACAATGTAATATAATATAATATAATATAAATTGTTAAGCTCTCCTTGACATGATAGTAATTGGTAACAAGTGTTCAAGTTCTGGCCTATCTCATTAATGCCTTTAAGAAGGCATGAATATATCTTCCCCTCAATTCCAACTATAGGTAAAATAGCTGTATAGACAGTGCTCTTTAGCCCTGGTTGGAAGCCAGTCTAGGAGAAATACAACCCTGAATTCAAAGCCGCGGTGAAATCAACGGAAACCCACTCAAAGATCTTACCCAAGAAAATGATAAAGAAAGCTGTAAAGAGCAACGAATCGCTTACGTCCTAAATCTAAAAGAATTAACCAAGACATGAAGTAGAAATTTGTCAATACTAAATAAGATACAGCAGCCGAATGTAATGGATTAATTAACCTCACTCTCCCGTTTCATTTCTTGTTCTAACGGCTGGACGTTGTTCTGGACGACTGGCGATAGGACCGTATTCTCAGTCTAGCTATACGCTGTTTACTGTTCATTTTCTGTGTTTAAATTACCATACTTCTAATTTACGAGTAATTTCTAAAATTTAATTTCTAATTTAATTTTCTACATCACCAGAAGAGTCCACTACATACAGATGGGCAACTCTTTTCTATAAGAGACATTTATTTCTTATAGGAGAGCCTTACCAGCGACCTTCTTTTTCTTCTTCTTCTTGCCGCGAGCCTCCGGGACATTGGCGATCTTGACTCTCCACAACTTCCTATATTTTGTAGCTCTAAGTAAACTTCCATTTACACAAATTTGTTCGGTAGGTTATTTGCTGTTATCGTCCCCACCCATCTTGCCTTCAATATTTCCTGTGAGTGCAAAATTCTCCAAGCCCTCTTTCCTCATTATATGTCCCAGAAATGTTAAAACTGTCCTCAAGTGATATTTTTTTGTTCCTGTCTTTCTTAAAACTTGCTCGTTGTTCCCATACTCCGTCCATAGTATCCTCAGCATCCTTCTGTAGAACGACATTTCTTTTGCTTCAATGTATTCACCTGTGACGAAATTGTCTAGAAATGATTGCCATAGAAATGTGAGCAATTACCCAGTGTTGATGGCAGACATAGAAAGGAAACTACAAGAATTCCCACAGAAGGTAGTGAAGGAAAGCGAGAAGAAAGGACTAAGCATCAATTGTAAGAAAATGTATGATTGTCAGCAAAAGGGACAGTCTCAAATGCAAATTACAAATTTGAGATACCAAAAATCAAAAAAATTAAAACAATTTAAATATCTGTTTATAGTTTTAAGGGGATAGAAAATGTGACGTTAAAATACGAAGAGGCATTGGGATAGCAAAATATGCCTTCAAAAAGCTAAGCAGAAAAATAGAAAAATTTCGTTAGGAACAAAGAAAAGAGTACTGAACAGTTATATAATATGAGTCTTCCTATATGTCAGTGAATGTTGGACAATCTCCACACTTATGAAGAAGAGACTTCAAGCAATAGAAACAAAGAAAAGAGTACTGAACTATTATGTAATATCTGTCCTTCTATATGGCATTGGCTGCTGGACAATCTCCTCGCATATGAAGAGGAGACTCGAAGCAACATAAACCAAGCAAAGAGCACTGAGCAGTTATGTAATATCAGTCCTCCTATATGTCAGTGAATGCTGGACAATCTCCTCACACATGAAGAAGAGACTTGAAGCAACAGAAACAAAGAAAAGAGTACTGAACTGTTACGTAATATCAGTCCTCCTATATGGCAGTGAATGCTAGACAATCGTGAGGAGATTATCTAGCATATTATGAAGAGACTTGAAGCAACTACAATGAGATTTTACAGAAGGATGCTGAGAATACGATGGTTCGATGTGAGCAAGTTTTAGAGAAAAAAGAAACAAAAAGGGACACTTATACGTATCATCAGAATGAATTGTGATTTCTAAGGCACATGATGAGGAAAGAGGACTTGGAGATTTTGACACTCACAGAACATATTGAAGGAAAAAAGGAGAGTGGAAATCAACGCATAACTTACCTGATGTGATTGTGTAAATGGTTGGCAGATCAGTGTTGTGTATGATACACCTAATTTACATAAGCGGACTACCGACCATATAAATATGGGTTGGTACCGGAAGACGGGGAAGATAGTAGAGATTAAGAAATTGAATCGAGAGACTCTGCCCGACTGCGATTTAGTCAACCCATTATGCAGGAACGGTCTTCCCAAGAATATACCAAACTAACTGTAAATATTGTGTACCTATTCTTTGTTTCAATACATTTTGTTAACGTACATTTTGTGTTGTATTATTCCATGCTTATTTAAGCTTCAACAATCAGGTATTAGTAGATATAGCGAAAAGACAAAATTTAAGGGTGAAAAAGACAGGAAATTGTGGAGAGCCATCATCATCCACGCCCTGAGAAGTCTCGGCATAAAATAGGAGCTATCACTACCCATTTTAGGGAGTATTGTATTATAATATCCTACTTATATTTATATTTCATTAGTGAGGTGAAATGAGGAAGATTATGTTGCGCCAGTCTTTAAATCTGGATGCGCCTGGTCTTCTTTAGACAGAAGCAGTCGAAATTCTGCCTATGATAGCTTTGAAAATTGATCGTGGTCAGTAGTGTGAAATAGTAATTTTTTTTATCCTGGTGATGAAGAGCAGAGGTCAGTCTAATCGCTTTACATGACACCTCCGCTCCGTTAAAAAAAAGGATGCATTGTTATAAAATGAAATATGTGTGTCAAGTAAATATTTATTTCGGAAATCTCCATGGCTTTTAATTTTTCTTTTTACTTTGACTGACGTCAACGCATCGGAAATCGTCAAAAGCACCAACTGCCAGCGCAAATGTATTTAAAAACGTAATGTGGGGACGTAACTCCATGAGAATAAATGATAAAACCATTTCAGTATAGGCTTTTCTATGCTCACCTCATCTATCTATCTATCTATCTATCTATCTATCTATCTATCTATCTATCTATCTATGTCCGTCTGTTCATATCTATCTATCTTTGTCAGTCTGTTCATATCTATGTCAGTTTGTTCCTATCTATCTATCTATCTATCTATCTATCCATCTATCTATCTATCTATCTATCTATCTATCTATCTATGTCAGTCTGTTCATAACTCTCTCTCTCTCTCTATCTATCTATCTATGTCAGTCTGTTCATAACTCTCTCTCTCTATCTATCTATCTATCTATGTCAGTCTGTTCATATCTCTCTCTCTCTCTCTCTATCTATCTCAGTCTGTTCATATCTATCTATCTATCTATGTCAGTCTGTTCATAACTCTCTCTCTCTCTATCTATCTATCTATGTCAGTCTGTTCATAACTCTCTCTCTCTATCTATCTATGTCAGTCTGTTCATATCTCTCTCTCTCTCTCTCTCTCTATCTATCTATCTATCTATCTATCTATCTATCTATCTATGTCAGTCTGTTCATCTCTCTCTCTCTCTCTCTATCTATCTATCTATCTATGTCAGTCTGTTCATATCTCTCTCTCTCTATCTATCTATCTATCTATCTATCTATCTATCTATCTATCTCAGTCTGTTCATATCTGTCTATCTATATATAATTGTATCAAAAATACTTTTACGAGGCGCGGTCCCCACACTAAAACAAAGACAAAAGTACCCAAAAACATACGCCCGCAAATCCTTTCATTTTTGAGTTACTAAGTTTCAAGTTTACGGTAGACGCTGTTAAATGAACAATCCAAGATACAATTCACTAATATTTTTACAAACTTTGGGGCGGGTTTCTGACACCAAAACAAGGAAAAATGTCCATATAAACATGTCCAAAAGACCATCGTTGTTCCTCAACACAGTAGCTCATAACAAATATTTAAAATGTCCTCCGCTTGCTTCTACACACACATGCACCCGTCGGATCATTGACTGGCGGACCCTTTCAAATATTCCCACACAGCATAGAATAGTTTCCCATGCCTTCATGACACGTTGAGAAAGCATTTTTCCGTTATTAATGTCTGCTGCATTAACCAATTGTTTTAGGTGTCCCACAGATACAAATACAATGGATTGAGGTCGGGGGAACGTGAAGACCATGGAACTGGCTCTCCCCTACCTCTCCATCTTTCATGGTAGATGTCAGCCAGTGCATTGCGAAACATGTGACTAAAAAGTGCTGGGGTTTCATCATGTATGAACCACATGCGTTTTCGCATTAGCAGGGGTACATCCTCTAGCAGGTCTGGAAGTGTGTTCGGAATAAAGTCCCTGTAGATAGCTCCTGTAAGAGGTGCTGGGAGAACACATGGACCTACTAGACAGTCACCTTACAATTCTAGCCCACACATTAATCGTATACTGATGCCGGTGTCTAGCCTGTATTGTACCAGGGGGATTCAGATCCGCCCACAAATGTTGGTTGTGTAAATTTGTTATTGCATCTCTTCCATGTGTTGTCGGTTCATCCGTAAACGAGACTGAGGAGACAAATAATGGATCAGCAGTTTGCGCAATAAACCATCGGAAAAAGTTCTCCTATGGTGATTGATCAGAGGGCGAAAGACTCTGTGCACGCTGCAAATGATACGGATACCGGAGCTGCTAAACAGGAGCAAAAGTTGGATGACTCGGCCTGCCTTCTGTTTGATTCAGTCGTGCATCCTCATATCTATTGGCATTCACGTGGCTGTATGTAAAAATCATACCTACCTGCTTACAGTATGAATATCCTGCTATTGTTAAAGTTTACTCAATTTACTCACTACTAGTCACGTTAAACGCAGCGCCATCTACCGCAAACTTTTTTTAAAACTTAAAACCTCATGAAGGAAGGATTTGTGGACATATGTTTACGTGGATTTTTTCCTTGTTTTGGTGTGAGTAACCCGTACCAGATTTTTGATACTATATATATATATATAGATATAGATAGATAGATAGATAGATAGATAGATAGATAGATAGATATAATATTAGGGGCTAATATACACATATACATATATTTATCTAAAATGTATAAACACACACACACAAACACACACACATATATATATATGTATAAAATTTCCAAGAGGATAGAATCCATGTAGAACTCAATGTCCAGGACAGAGTATGAATATAATAAAACAACTTAAACACTAATATTCCATGGTTATAATTTATTACAGCGAAACACTTTGTCTGTGAATGACGGCATATATATATATATATATATATATATATATATATAGAGAGAGAGAGAGAGAGAGAGAGAGAGAGAGAGAGAAGAGAGAGAGAGGATTAATGTAATATAAAATTTGTCAATAAACTGATTGATGTTTATATTTAGTAGACGCACTTTTTTTGCAATCATTGAGTCCACTCGTCAGGAGGTATCATCAAATGTCTGCCGATTTTCACATTTTTGTTATATTCATATTAAGTTAAAATATAATCTGTGCGTTTTTTATTGATGTTAGGTTGATTTATTCTTCTGTTTGTGTGTATGTGTGTGTGCGTGTGTGTGTATGCTTGTATGAGCTTGTATGCGAGCAACCCCTCTCTCTCTATCTCACACACACACACACACACACAAACACACACATATATATATATATATAATTGATACATGGTTATAGTTGAATCCGACCAGGGGACGATTGTATTAAATAGTGCTCAATAAACAATCCGAAAAATTGAACGCGCAGAGCTTTAAATATTAAATATTAAAAAGCACTTACACGCTCTACTGTCTGCCGAGACTGTAATGGCTGAAACCATGGTAGCGGGTGTGTATTGATTCCTATTTTTAATATATATATATATATATATATATATATATATGGGGAAACGATATATAGATTTTTCATATCAAAACAGATTATGTTCAGACCTACATAAAAAAGAACATTTAAATTAAAAATTCTCAGTACCTCTCTTTCGCTCGTGCGCATGTGCAGTCACATCAATGCAAATATCACTTTAGTTCAATGAAGTTCTAAAAGACGATAAGTATCACATGAAAACGTTTTCATTTTGTCATCATTCTTCCCATATATATATATATATATATATATATATATATATATATATATACATATACTTTCACATATATATATATATATATATATATATATATATATATATATTCTCTGTAATTAGACAACAAATGTTCTTTAAGGTAAATATTAAAACAACAGACATTTTGTATCGATTAATTTTAATGATCGTCTTTTCCAAATAATCCTTCTCAGATAAGGATGTAATTCCGTCAGAAATTGTCTAAAGTATAATTTTTAGTGGGTACACTAAAAACAGTAGATGTCCCTGTCTTTCAAAAAAGTGAAATTGTTATGTACCGATCCATGATAGAAATGTCAGCAATTCTTCTTGAAAAAAAAAAAAAACTACCTCTCGACAGGGATTGAACGTTAGATTCCCCTTTTACCTTAGGGCAGTGGTTCCAAAACTTTTTTTTTCTTTAGGCCGCAGTTTCGGAAATAAAATTTGCTCGTACCTCACCATATTTTATGTGATAGAAAGTACATTAAAAAAACAAAACAAACAAAAAAAAAAAAAAAAAAAAAGCCAGAGAGAGGGTTAAAGGGAGATAACGGCGGATTCAAAGTCAGAACATTATCAGTGATAACTCTCTCCTCCAATTTGCAGACCCTAGTTACTATATTCTTAATACTTAATATAATGTAAAAATATCACAGTGATAAAATTAGTCAATGATTATTTATAACTATTTATACTGGGATTCATGCATGCAATTACAAGTTATCCATAATAATATTTTAAATTTTGAAATCATTTATTTTTGGCATATGAATTTTTTGAAACTGTTTCTAAATCTTTATCTTTCAATCATTCCGCCTCACCTGCTATCATCTTTCGCCGCACTTATGAAGAGCACCGCAACTTTTGGGAATGCAGATTCAGTCTCTAGATTGTTCCCAAGTGCATTTTTCTTTAATCAGACTTTCAAAGATTCTATTCTAAGCACTAAGAAGAAAAAAAATGATATGTTTTGAATTTTGACAGAATGTTTTTGTGGTGAAATTCTAGTCCATTTCCTTTTTTGCGAAAGCTAATATTTTCTTTAACGACAATTTTGTTTTTTTTTTTTAACATACAACGTGTGTTAGCACGTGCGATACCCTGACTTCATCAGCCACCGACCAGGGGTGATCTCACGGTTTCGGTGGCTATGGCGGGACCGCCACCCCAGGCGCCACCAGCAGCATTTGCCACCAGGCAGGGTATGAAAAAAAAAATAATTGATCGTTCCTCTTTGCAAATTCTTAATGAAATAAATAAAACGATTGTTCCTCTTTGCAACTTCTGTCCGTAATGAAAGTTCCTGAACGCGTTTGCCGTTATTGACGCGCTCGTAAAAATCGTTATAAACGGCTATGCAAATATTTCACCTGCGCATGTTAGGTCGTGATGATGCGCGCATAATATTTCACTAATGTTTGTTCTGATCTTAACTTTCCTTTCTAAATTTGTCGTCGATTTGGTCGTTTTCCTCTTTTATCTTTTCTATTACTGGTTCAAATCACTCAAAAGCAAACGTCATATATTATTCTACAAAAGGAACTGATCTTTTTGCCCTATGTGACCCTTAAGATTGTTATTAAGGATAAAAGAAAGCTCTTTGTCAAGATTAGTCCAAACAGTCTTCCGGTTACCTATGGGCCACTGTATTCTTGGTTTACTTAGGATTTCTCCAGGGTGCTGTCGCTCAACGATGGAATCCTGAACGACAAGACGTTATAGAAAGCTTATGAAGCACAAATCGTGTATTTACCAGATTAAGCTTTGAATCTTAGAAATGATTAAAGATATCTTACTGGAATTTTCCGAGGTTTTTATAAAACTATTGGACTTTCCTTTGAGCAATAAGAATGTATAATTACTCTCCAAGTTTAACAGAAGACTCGTGATGAAATCGATCATAAACGAAAATCACATGTTCATCATTAATTAATCATAGCTAAGGGTCGTCGGAAGGTCATGAAGGATTGAAATAAAGTCCATATATATATATATATATATATATATATATATATATATATATATATATATAAATATAGATAACTAGTCTCGTTTCGAAAAACCCTCGAATTTTTGATTTGCTAATAATCAAATCAATCTCGAGGGAAAAAAAGTTTTAAAAAAGGAAGAGCTACAAACATGAACTTCTGCCGACAAAAAAAAAAAATCGCACAGATGCAGGTCTGAAGCCCAAAGAAAAAACCCCGATACGAGTAAACAACTAACAAAAGAGCTCAATACAACCGTAGAGCAGACCTAGATACACCTAGTGAGCCAGACAAACCTACCCAGGTTTCACCTAAACGGATCGTCAGGGAAAGTAAGCCTTACTTTCCCTGACGATCCATTTAGGGTGAAAACTGTTTAAATTTGTTAACTCACTAATGTATCTATCTCTATCTATCTATCTATCTATCTATCTATCTATCTGGGAAATACTCTTAAGGTGTGCTATATTTATGGGATAAAGTGCTCAATATCAGAGATAGAGGGTGTGTAAATATAAAAGTGAACATTGAAGTCAACACTTAGGGGCGACAGGCTGTTTCATGCTAGACAC